TAAAGTAAAATTCAGTTTAACTTTGAAAATGAGGGGAAAAAACATCTGCATTTGTTCTTCTCAAGCTGTCATTATCACTTGTTTTAGATCTGTGTATATACATGTAGTTACGTATGTATATATTCATTCATATTTTGTGTGACATATTGTATATATATATATATATATATATATATATATATATACATATATATATATGTATATGTGTATGTGCTGTTGTTATATATCTGGAGTTGGTAACAAAAATAATTTCCTTCTGGGATTATTAAAGTATTTCTGATTCTGATTCTGATTCTGATTGACAAGATGCCATCATAATTATTTATTTTTTCTATTATCTATAAGTAATATTTATTTTTTACTCTTCAGACATAGCCACAAATGCCTGTTATTTTTCAAGACTGTGAAGACAAATATTTTCTTTTGCTATTTTATGTTTCAGTCTCAAAGTTGTGCAGAACAGCCTGAGAGGTAAACCACGGTAGTTTGTGTTGGTGTTGTCAGTCCTTAGCTTTGTCCTGCCTGGGAAACACTTTTTTGGGAAAAGGAATTACTTTTGATGCTGTGATGGACTTGTCCGGGATGTACCATGCCATTTGCTAACCGCTGGAATAGACCCCAAAACTCCTGAATTTGGTTAAACTGCACACAACTTCATCTCTGTGGGACACACTGATTCAGCAATAGTTGCCCAAACCCCCAAAAAAGTTAACTTACGTGCCGTGATGGAGGAGGTGCGAGTGGGAGCTCAACATTGAGAGCCGTTTTAAAACATGTTTATTGCCTGTTATGCCTCACATGGAGGATCGGAAACCAAAAAGGCCAACACAATGAGCTGCCAGCTGCTGTGCAGACAAGCATCTGGCAGCTCGCTGTGCTGGGATGACCACTTTTCTCTGGGACTGCGATCCAGCTGAGCCTGTAGGAGAGTCAAAAGCAATCCTTTCCTTTTGTAGTTGGTTGACAGGGTTATCTGTGGGAAGCGATAACCGTAATAGAATAAAAATTCGAGCTCATGGAAGACAGTACGTACAGTGCATAGCTGTCAGAACGCTGGAAATAATCACACTGTGATTGGCAGTAAGAAAGGAGTCAATTGCCTTGTGTCAGGAATTGCAGTTATATTATAGAATATTGCACAGATGTGTTATTTATGGTGTATTAAGACTGCATCACAAGGTGATTTACATCTCTTTGCAGTCCCGCCCACCTTACCTTTAATCTCCAGCAGTATCTCTCCCTACTTCACTTTCAATATTTTTCATTACCTTCCGTCTGCCTCCATCTCTTCTTTGAAACCTACCTCTACCTTTTGACAGAGTTTCCTCTGATTTCAGTAATATCTTTACTTTTCTCTTAAAGCGTGTGTTTACCTTCACAGATAGCTGCCTCCGTCTCTTCCTCTCTTTCTCTGACCCCTGTCACAGTCAGTAAAGTTCTGATGAGAAGCTACATAACACTGCATTGTCTGATCAGGTGTTGTTGAGTAAGCGAGTTTGCTGCCCTGATCTCTTGGGGTCAGCTTAATGCTATCCTCTGCTGGATCTCTCCTTGTAACCCGGTCTGCTGCTCGCCAGCCGGGGCCTAGATTTGTTCTCCTGCTGTCGACTGGCCCAGCAGATGCTTACTCCTACAACCTACTACTGCGCTCCCATGCCAAACAGCATACTCGGTGCAACAAGAAGTCTAGGTTTGATCTACATTTACATGCATTCATTCTAAAGGACCATTAATGCTGAAGTTCATATTTTCATCTTTAATTTATTGTCTGCTTAACGTCAACTTCACCTTCAAAGACTATGTATCAATGGACATGGGTGTTTTAGCAATGTATTTTACTAAAATCTTAACCGAAAATGTCTTGTTTTTCTTTGAGCTTTAAAAAAAGCATTCTGTTCTCTTTAGATATAAGTTTGAGAAAGATACTGAAGGTGGTATGCAGGGAAGAGCAGTTCGATACCCTTCCCTTTTCAAGTCAGATTCCACCTTGGACAAACTAAGAGGTGGATTATTGATTAATCGCTTTACATTAATGAGCTGAATTGATCTGAAAACAGGGCAGCAGTGCAGATCACTGACAGTAAAAGGGCCATCCTCTTCAGAGGGTCCCTTGTAAAGGAAAGGGATTGCGCAGGGCTACAAGAGAAAGGTGGCCAGGAGGGTAAAAACAAGTCAAATCTAGTCGCCGCTTTACTTTGTCATGGATCTTATATCTTCTGAGTTTTCTGCCAGGCACATGTCTATGCAGCAGAGATTTCATTTTCCCAAATAATTTTAGAGTCTTGCATCATACTACTCATAAATATGTTTTATCCTGATTTATGCTAAAATGGTGGCTAAAACTCTAAATAAAAAGAGAGAAAAAAAGAAAAGAAAGAAAGAAAGAAAGAAAGAGAGAAAGAAAGAAAGAAAGAAAGAAAGAAAGAAAGAAAGAAAGAAAGAAAGAAAGAAAGAAAGAAAGAAAGAAAGAAAGAAAGAAAGAAAGAAAGAAAGAAAGAAAGAAAGAAAGAAAGAAAGACAGCTGGATCCATCAGGATTTTGTGATTTCCTCCAACCAGAAAACATTCATACATGTCCTACTATGAGAGTATTAACTTGTGCAGATGACTGCCATATATGTTTATGCATGTGCTTCTGTTACATAATGTGGAAAAGCAAAATCTAATCTCTGACCTTTTTAAAACCCACTAAATTCGTACACGTTTGCATACATTACCAATCCGCTGAGAGCTGCAGCCTCTCTTACAATACAGAGGAAAGTCAACAGGAGTAGGTATTGTTTCCTCTCCCCATAGGAGGCAAGGTAAACTGTAAAGCAAAGCACCTGATCTAATCTCCTTTCCAAGCTGGCTGGCACGAGTTTGAAAAAAAGTCAGAGTAATGATGTGAAGGCCCCCCTGACTGGACCATGTTCTATTTGTTTGTTGTTTGTTTGCTTACAATGCCGGTGCGGGCCAATAAACCATTTACAACGATGTGCAAAACTCTCACATTACTCCAAACCCAACCTCTCTGAGGACAGTGTGAGCAAGGTTTCGCATTGTTTCAGCATTTTCATTGAGGTACTTCTGCAGTGATCGGATCACGATAGCCCCTGACAACTTAGGATGTGGCAGGAAAGCCCTCACAGGAAGCTGAAAGTGGACAGTCATCTAAAAAAACGGTCAAATAATTGATGGGCTTTCTTTAGGTGTGATAATCATTCAATTCTATTTTTCATTTAGATTATATGTAAGAATTTACATCCTAGAATTAAAATAGATTAAGCAAGACTGACGTTATTTGAGAACAGGAACTGAAAACTGAACTAAAAAAAGTAAGAGACGAGGTTGGAGACCTGCATTCAAATGGCATCCCCATAAAAAATTCTGAGGCATAAATACAAGCATGGATGTAAAGGCTGTCAGTGAACGCTCAAGCTGAAAAGCCCCTTTAAAAAGTGAGAACTATTGCTGTCTCATGTTCCAAGCTGTTTAGCAGATTGAGCTGCATCTAAAAAGTGCTTTCATATCATAAAAAAACTACATTTATGATGCAATGCCAAATCATAATTGGTTAAATTGTGAGTAAACGTGCTAAAGTATAATTATAAATGTAACACGTGACTTGAAATGATTCTTGTTGAATAAGAGGATGGGAGTATCATGAATGTTAACTTGTTCAAATATTAGCATGTTTGCAAAGGCATTAATATGGCTATTAACTTTAGATAGATGAAACACTTAATTTGAGTACATAGGTAACTTCAGTTTACAGTACAAATATACATACTGTACATTTGCTCATCTAAATCCAGATCCTCCGTTAAAGCACTACCAAAAAAAGAAAAAAATGAAAAACAGGATAATTCTGACATTTCCATTAAACCACAATGATGACACTGTAACAGTGTATTAGCATAAAGCCTTTTGATTTATGTCCACAATAAGCCACCGTTGGCACTGCAGAGCCAGCCAAACATCTGGTATCATTATGTAAACAACTTGCAGGCAGTTTCATGAAATGCACGGACTGTCTGGAACAGTCCAGCACAGATGCAATATACTCCTCCTAATATGCTTTCTATGTACAATTAAGCTGGAATGTTAGCTTTATATTACTATGATATTACACAGGTAAACCTGGACATAGTTGTGCTGTGTTGGCAACTCAGTGGAGTTTTGTAAACACAGAAAAAGATGCAATTGGAAGAAATTAATAACAATATTTAAACAGTCAGACCCACAAAGAAAGTTCAGAGAATATTGTGCAATGATGGTTCTGTTTTATACTTTACCCTAAAAAACTGTACACTCTCTAATTGTGGTTAAAGAGGAGCATTAATTCAGTTGAGAATTAAATTATTCAACAGTCCAACTGTCACACTGAAAGCTTAAGAAATACATGATGAAATTAGATTTTTATTTTGCTTTGTTATTAGAGGAATGCATAATTTTCATTTCTTCATTTTCACAGATCTTTAGTATGTTGTGTTAAACATTTCCATTAACAATTACTGAGCTAAAATTCTTTTCCAAAGAGAATGTGACAGAGGTAAGTCAGCACAGGAAACTGCAGTGATGGCTTTTAGTTAATTTCACAGTTCATTGTTCATGCAGGTCTGTGTAATTATATGCTTGACAGAGAAAAAAAAGCTACAAGAGGTTTTATGAAAAGTTATTCCAACTGGCTGTGTTTTATTGTGGGGAGCAGTGGTTACTGTTGGAACAGCTGTTGGAACAACAGTTGACGTGTTACATGGGAATTTAATACCTTTTACAAGAGAAGGTAAAATGGAAAGTATTAGGAGTGATGCTGAGTGACAGCTGCTCAAAGTAAGGCTTAAAATACCTTTTGCCTGTAAAGAATGTAAAAAAAAAGAGAGTGGCAGTAAAGCTTTGGGACTTTGAATCAATACATCAAAAATTATTTTAAAAAAGTCCCATTTCTCATGAAAATATCCCCAAATAGGAGCAAGAAAATGAGCAACCATGAAGACAGAAGCAACAGCGGGGACTCACCTGGTCTTTTTTCGTTTCGACTTTTTCGACCCCCGCATAGTCGAACCTTTGAGATCAGGACCAGGATCTGTTTCTGGCAGAGGGACTTGTTGCTCTTCGGACAGGGCTTGCGTTTGTTGGCCACCGGTCGGTTGGCTTGGTCGTCCTTGACCGCCCGTTTCTGTCTGATGAGAGAGCTGGCAAGAGCTGCCATCTTCCCCCCCCTCTCACCTTTGGGAGGGGGGTATTTTCCTTCTTCGTGTCCCCTCTACTGGTTTGGCTTTTTGCTTTCTCCAAAAAAAAGAAGAAAAAAAAAAAGAACTACAGTAGGATGGATGTTTCAAGAAGCCCCCACAGGGGAGATCAGGCTACTAAGTGGGTTAACAGGAAAGAGTTTAGCTTGATGGTTCCCTTTGAGAGGGCAGATCTTAGAGAGATGCAAGTTCACATGTAGCCCTCTGTAAAGACTCCACTCTAGCCAAAAATAAAACATCGGACCATAACAGAGTGCAGAAGAACATGCTACAGTCACAGTTTTAGACAAAATCTACGTTTAGAGGTCTTTTGAAAGAATGAAGGTAGAGACATAATTCTAACAGCCTTCCTTTCTCATCTTTCACCCCAGAAGGTGCCTTACAAGCCAAGTTAAGGAGTTGCTTTTGTAAAATACCTAACCTACTATACATTGAATAGATAAAAAGCACAGATGCAGAGCTCAAATAAATTTACATATAAAAACACTTTTACTGAAGAAAAGTGAGATCATCTTGAATGCTAGGACGCTCTTAAAAGCACGAGGAAAATCAAACTGCCTGTCACCATTTGTGCAGTCCACGGAGGTCCAACTTTGCCTCCCATTTAAACGTGGCAGCGTGGAATAATGAGCAGGGAGTCCAAGTGGTAATCCAGCCGACTTAAATCCAGCGGTGGAGCAGCGGACGGGACACTGACAGTCTTTTTCAGAACAAAGCCGAGAACAGAGCAGAGACATGGACACAGACAGACAGAGATTCCTCCTCTGCCTCCGGATGGCACGCTCCTTTCCCACAGTCCTCACCGAACCCCCCCTCCCTCCTCCCCCGTTCCTCCTCCCATCCAAAGTCAGCGAGCGCTCATGAGAGTCTGTGTGTGTGTCT